AGGCTGAGTCAACCTTGAGCCAGTGAGATTAGAACCGCTGAACTGCAGATAACAGTCAGCTGAAGTGGCCTGCAGTACTGCACCCTAACCACTGCGGCACCTCGGCTCAAGTACAGCTCTTAGCGATTACAAATTCTTGAGTTACCTGCAAGTTATAATAAATCATAGTACTATCCATGATTATATCTGATTATAGTTAATTCTTTTGTTTTAATGTTGTTTTATTGATATTTGTTAAATAGACTCTATTTTTTCTTCCTTTTAACTGTTTTTAAAATTTCCAGAATTGCTTATGTAAGATGGACCGTTTTACAAATCAAACAAACTGGACATGACACCCAGTATTAATTACCTACCTTGCAATGCAGATACATTCTTGCAAATATGTTTTCAAGGTTTATAAGCTCATGCATGCAGTGACAGATTTCAATATCCATAACAGATCAAATTAAAATCATTCCAGGATCTACAGGAGATCTTTAATCAGATTCTATAGTGGTATGGGTTCCAGAATTACAAACATTCTAAAATTTCAATGAATTGATAGATTTTTGTTTGAAATAAAAAAGACATAATCCTATCCCATTAAAAGAAATAGTTTTGGCACGCCAATCAAGGCATGATAATACAGGCAACTATTATCAACTGACCAAATCTAAGGTAACAAATCAGATTAAAATAATAAATTTGCTAAAAAGCATATTCTTTCCAGACTTACATGGTTTTGAAGATATAGTATGCTGACCAGTAATACGCTAAAACTAATGCACTTAGTAGAACAACGCAGAATTAAAAAATCAAAACAAAATAAAGCAGGATATATACGTATGTCCTTAAATACTTAATTCTTCATTTTTCAGATGACTAACAAAAAAACGTACCCAATGAAGGGTTCCCATACATAATTTAGCAGCAAGAAGTGGAATCGTAGGATCATCTGGCTTCAACCGAATACATTCTTTTAAGACTTTCACAGCTCGAGCAGACTATATAAAAAGGGTGTTAGAAAATAATACAGTGAGGAATTAGCAAAATGTGCTATCTCAATTTGATATAATTAAAAAAAGATGCAATGCATTTTATTCAAGAAGGAATTGGTTTGATTTTGTAAAATACAGATGTGATTAATGTGAGCATAAGCATGAGACCTGTATTTGTGCCTGATAATTTAAAAAAAAAAGTAGTTCCCTTATACCAGGGAGTAAAAGTGATAAAATTATAGAGAGGAGGGGTACTGTGATTGACAAAATTCTAAATGAAAGGGTTTGAGAGATAACGATATACAAAATTTGTGATGTGCAGGGAAGCTTTTGGGTAGGCAGGAGAATCAAGACTACATTTTTGCTCTTCAGTAGCCATCAAGATACATATGAATTATGAAAAGGTATATTACGTTCATTTAGAAAAAGCTTATGATAATTGAATTATGGACTATTTTACGCACATATGGAGTTGAAGGTTGGCTGTTGAACGTGGTAAGAACAGCATATCATACAAAAAAGCATGTATGAGAATAAATGCATTGTTTAACAACTACCCAAACATTGAGTAAGACGATTGATGTGTGATATCATCTTGATTTTTAATGCTGGGTTAAGCTGACAACCCAAATGATCTGCAGGGATTGTTAGACTGTGTGATGCAATGAGGAGTATAGATCTAAATACTATCTACAGATCAAGAAGTTTGTTTCGAGAAGAGAAGTGGAATGAATGATTGCAATTTGTACATATGTGGCAAAAAATTGCAGTGAGTGGTATCTTGGTATATAGAATGTTTACTAAACATGGAGAAATGCATGGATAATGTTTTACAATGGCCAGATGTGCTTCACAGACTAAATGTAAAGATGTAAAACACCTTTTCCCAGCCACTGGTTGTAATTTGAGGAGTACCTGTATTTAGGAGCAATGAAACACAGTATTTCAAAGAAAGAAAAAAAGAAACCCAAATAAATTTGTACTATATCTATTTTTCTATTCTGAGCCAACAAACTGTAGTCATCTAGTAGATGTCTACAGTTTGTTGGCTCAAATGATAAACAGAGCTGCAGCTGCATTCTGTACACAGTTATGAAAATGAAGGCTTACACAACACAAAGAGTGTAGGCAGAATTATAGCCTACTTTGTTGCCATTAGCAGCCAATAATAAAACAAAATTTGCAAAGAAACTTACTTTTCCTGCTGCCATTAATGAAAGTGCAAATTGGTACCAAAGATGGAATTCTTCAAAGGCAAATTTCATAGCCCGTTCCAAACACTGCAATAAAATTGAGAATACAGATCATTAATAGGTATAAATTATTTAAACTAACACTACTCATATTTCTACACTGACTATATTAGCTGGTAATTACACTTACTGGCAAACAAAACAATGCTTGCAAGGCATTGTACTTTTGTTGCAGAATATACCATATTTTTCAGAGTATAAGACACACTCCCCCCCCCAAAGAAAATTTGGGTGTGTCTTATATACTGAATGTAGTCCCGCCCACCTACCGGCCCCCACCCTTTGCCCTCTGCCTCACAGCAATTTGCCTCCTTGCAGCAAATAGCAAACAGCCAGTTTCAACTTCATAACAGTCTAATTAGCACAAGCAGCTGATGTTCGGTTGGATAAGCTTCCTGACCATCAGCTGTTTCAAGTTGGAGGGATTGCCATGAGCTGTTTCCTGTTTGCTGCAAGGAGGCAAATTGCTGGGAGGCAGAGGCACATTTTTTTTCTTGTGCTAATCAGGATAAACTGAAACTGAAACAGGTTGTTTGCTGCAAGGAGGTAAGTCAATAACTATAAATGCCTATAGACCATTCAAATTATTAGACTTATTTTTAAAGACTGCTTTATTATTGTTCTAGACAAAAAAAGTTTTTTAAAAAATACTCTGAAGAAGCTCACTGCTACTGTATCTTCTTTTAAATAGCAGAGTATAACATATACTTTCAGAAAGCCATATCAATTTTAACAGCATCTGTACAAGTATAGTCTGAAATGTAACAGTGTCCTGTTGTAGTATTAAGATAAGGCAGCTGAGTTAGACCTTGACATAGTCATGTTTGGAGTAGATCTATTTAAATAATTGGGAGGAGTTAATGCCACTACATTTAAGAAAACTTTCTGGCATTAATATACTGCCATAATGTACATTTCTCCAATTCTTTGCTATTTCTATGGGTCAGGTACACATGGACAGAAATATAACACAAATAGAGTATATCGTCTGTACTGTTTGCTGCAAGGAAGCAAATTACAGGCAGGCAGAGGCAGATTCCCCCCCCCCCTTGTTTTCCTCCCCAAAAGCTAGGTGTGTCTTATATTTCGGAGCATCTTATACGCCGAAAAATACGGTAAATATCATGCCAGGGTGAATGATGCAAATGATTGAAGACTTTGTTGTTGTATGCAAGTAAGAATGAAAGCTTGGGTTATTTTATGTGTGTGTAATGCAAGCAATAGAGAAGAGAAGAACAGGGGTAGACTATAAAACTCATCTTTTGTCTTTAGGAAGTTTGTTCAACCTTTTGACTCCATTTTCTCTGTCCATGTCTTTCTCTCAATTCATAGAATACTATTTAAGTTACTTTATAGTGGAATTTCATGCTGAAATTAACAACAGGAAAGGAAGATTCTCAAAAAAACTTTAAATTAAAAAGTGAATTCCTTTTAGCTCAGCTTTAAATCAACAGCAAATAGGGAATCAATATATAAACCTATTACGTATATAGAACCCATGAAAACAGTTAACATAAAGGAAATGTTCATGAAATACATATAAAAAAGGGAGTTTCAACGCAAATGTCAGGTCACAAAAGTAAGAAAGTGAGAAATGAGATCATCTTCCAACACATTTGTAAAAAACAAAGCAGGGAATGATTCAAACACAATGATTCTCTAACAAACACCTGAAACATTTTGATTGAATTCTTCTCCTGTGCCATATCCCTCATCAGATGCTGGTGATCATGTTGGTGATCCTATTTTTATCAACAGCTGCATGAAAATGTTGAGTTTTGTCCAAACCAGTCCCTTAGGTTTTGAATCCATGATGTTCTTCTTCTGCCTGGACCTCATTTCCCTTCAATATTTCCCTGGAGGATTAAGTGAAGTATGCCATATTCCAGAGTTTTAAAAGGTGACATGTGTCGCATCACATGTCCAAAATATTTTAATTTTTGCTTTTTAATGGTTTTGATTAGGTTTTCCTAGGCGGCTATCACCTCCTCATTTCTGATTTTCTCAACCCAGCTTATACTTAACACTGTCTGTAAACCCACATTTCAAATGCTTCTGTCTCTTCAAGTGGCTTTCTATCTGAGACCAATTCTCTACTCCGTAAAGCGAGATAGAAAAGATCTGAAAAACCTCATCTTCAATCTTAGGCTTATGTTGTGACTGCAGAAGACCTCCTTCATTTTGAAGAATGCTGTCTGAGCTTTCTCTATCCTTGTCTTAACTTCAGTGATCATGTCCCAGCTTTCATGTAAATTAGAACCAAGGTGTATGATCCTTTCAACTTTTTCTAGTGGTATTCCTTTTGAAGTTATTGGTGGTAATTAATGGGTTTGCTGACGACCATGACCTTGGTTTTTGAGGTGTTAAGCTTCAAGTTGTATTTTTCAGATATTTCTGTGACTCTGTTGATGAGGAGCTAAAGATCTTCATGCTTACTGGCAAGCAGAACTGTATCATCAGCATATCATAAATTGTTGATCCGAACACTGTTCACTTTTAGGCCAGCATCAATGTTTTCCAGTGCTTTGTTGAAAATTGACTCAGAGTAAATATTAAACAAGAGGGGAGACAGAATACAGCCCTGTCTGATCCCTCATCGTATTTCTGCATCATCTGAGTATTTTCGGCCTAGTCTCACATTTGCTACCTGATGCCAATATAGGTTATTAATGATTTGGATGTCTTTGCCATCTAGTCCTACTTGTTTCGGGATTTGATTGAATAGCATTTTTAAATTCAATGTTAGTTGATTCCCGCAAATTCCTGATAAATGTATTTGCAACATCTTCGGCAATTATTTTATGGTAACATATTGTGAGCCATCCAGAGTTAGTTGGAGCCAGGTGGTGCCTAAATTTAATTAAGGAAGCATCTAAATTCTATTTATGTATTCAATGAACTGTATTTCAGTAAGAAAGTAATTTACCATACAAGTTGAATGGATTTAGTAATTTTAAAATTCATAGAAAAGTTAAATTTCATCATGAAAGAAATAGAACTTGGAAGAACAAGAAGGACTCCTTCAAAGAAAGGGAAGCCATGAAAAATTGAAAGAATGGGAAGCAGAGAAGCATGGATCCGCTATCCAGGGGAAAAGTTATGAAACAAAAATATTTTCAGTTCCTTTTCAGAACAAATTCTGATGAAAATCCATAATGCTTACTTCCAGGGTAGGTACAGAATTTAGTTTCCAACTGGTAGCAGTAAAAGCAATAAATAATTGATAGTTCTTAAAGAGAAATATATTTACCACACAGAGGCCCCGTTACCCTTTCCAAAGACTTCTGACACAGGAGCATATTCCTCACAGACAATCCACATTCAAAATATTATGAACTCATGTAAAATAAGAGCCACATATAGAATGGTTGAATTGGTGCATTCCAGAAGAAAATGCTGGTCTGTGACCAGCACACAGAGTTTCAGTGTCTACAGTACGCTTGTAATTTGATAAAATTTAAAAATTAACTTTTAAAATTATTTCTACAATTCCTTAACTAATTGTATAGTTATTTATTCTGGAATAAACCCCATTATATTCAGGATTTCCAGCTTTTATAAAGCTGCTCTCACAAATTTTTTTTAAAAACACAGATATTTTATTATCATTATTATTATTTATTTATTTATTATTATTTTATCCACATAAATTGTTTCAACTTCTACCCTCAAAACAATGCTATAGGGCACTGCACACCAGAAAAACTAGACACAAGGACATTCCCCCCTCTGTTAAATAACTAATTCCCACAACACTCATATTACCTACTAAGACTGTATTATATTATTCTTCTCTTCCTTCCTAGTACCTATCTCTTTCCACCTATGACTATAACCATGTTGCTTGGATCTTTAAATTTTATATTGTTTTATTGTTTTTTTCCTAGTATAATTTGATTGCTTATTAGTAATCTGTGACTATCACTAAGTGTTGTATCTTATGATTCTTGATGAATGTATTCTATTTTATTTTTCTTTATGTACACTGAGAGTATACGTATGAAAGAAAAATTCCTTGTGTGTCCAATCACACTTGGCCAATAAAGAATTCTATTCTATTCTCCAAATAGCACCCACTTCGGCTTTTATCATAAGAAAAGGGGGGGAGAGAAACCTTCCCCCTAAAGTACGTAGCAATACAGGGACAACCAATCTTCCAGCTTGTGATGGTGAAGAAATTTAATTAATCATTAATTAAATCAAAGAACATTTATCATGAACATTAATGTGGCTGATATAAAATTATCAGAATAAAATTAACTTTACTCAAAGGGAGAATCAAAAAGGAAAAATGTATATGAGCATTATATAAATCACAAAACAATGCTATAGGGCACTGCACACCAGAAAAACCAGACACAAGGACATTTCCCCACCGGATGACATCACTCTGTTAAATAACTAATTCCCACAACACTCATATTACCTACTAAGACTGTATTATATTATTCTTCTCTTCCTTGAAAATAGCACCCTCTTCTGCTTTTATCATAAGAAAAGGGGGGGAGGGAAACCTTCCCCCTAAAGTACGTAGCAATACAGGGACAACCAATCTTCCAGCTTGTGATGGTGAAGAGAAACTTTCAGTACAGGTAATCTTTGATTTACGATTTAGCCCAAAATTTCTGTTTGCTAAGCAAGTTACTTGTTAAGTGAATTTTGCCTGATTTCACAACCTTTCTTGCCATAGTTTTGCCAGTTAAGTGAATCATTACAGTTGTTACTAAGTTAGCAATGAAGTTGTTAAAGGAATCTGGCTTCCCCACTGACTTTGTCAGAAGGTTGCAGAAAGTGATCACATGATGCTAAAACACTGCAGCCTTCATAAATCCATGCCAGATGCCAAGCATTTGAATTTTGATCACATGACCATGGGGATGCTGCAAAATGATCATTAATCATTTTTTTCAGTGCTGTCATAACTTCGGACAATCACTAAACAAATGGTTATAAGTTGGAGAGAGAGAGAGAGAGATAGGGAGGGAGGGAGAGGGAGAGAGAGAGAATGAATGAATTTATTCCAGTCTATACTTGATCTGCAAATCAGATTTATGTTTTCCTTTAACTCTTTCATATCAATACCTTTTGAGATGAGATTTTTATTCAATCATTCAAGCATGTTAATAAAAGCATGGTTTTATAATTTTTTTATGTTTTACTGTTGTCCTTGTGAAATGCCCAGTGTCATTGTTAAAAAGTAAGTCTTTAAAATAAAATAAATAAAATACTATTTTTCGAGTAAAAACCCCTTTAGCTATCACATAAATTACATTCAATCCTTTGCATTCTTATCATACTAAATTCTGTCAGGTTCTGTTTCTCTTATATCCATCAATATCATTGAAAACAACAGATAATCTGTTAAATGATACACTGAATTGATGAATTATTTTTAATTAATTATTTTTTAAATTTATGGTTCCACAGAAATATTGCATGTCCAGAAGGGGCTCATTTAGAATTTTAAAACCATGATATCAGCATCACCCCCAAAATGTATTTATTTCTCAAATTTCTAGCTTATAAGAAGTAACTTTAGGCATAATACAGCAATCATATAAAACAATAAAAATATCATCATTAAAAGTTAAAATATTATTTAAAATTAAAATATGTACAGAGAGAGTAAATGAATCAGAGTATAAGATGCGCCTTTTTCCCTGAAAAAAGAAGCTGAAAATCTGGGTGCATCTTATACACTGAATACCGCATTTTTTGCCTCCCAAAACCCCGTCCCTTCACCAAAATGCCCTTGCATAAGCTTGTAGGAGGCTTTCAGAGAGGGGGCTGCGGAGGGCAGAAATGAGCAAAAAAAGGGCTGGTTTTTGTTTGTTTTTGGACACCCTCTCTCAGGAGCACTCTACTAGCCTCCTAAGGGCTATTCACGCCCTTTTTTTGAAAAAAATACCGGACCCATTTTCACAAAAAATGGGCTGTTTTGGGGAGGTTTGCAGAGTGCAAAAACTTTTTTTTAAAAAAATTTCCTCTTCAAAACCTTGGTGTGTCTTATACCCTGGTGCGTCTTATACTATGAAAAATACGGTAATTCACCAGGGTCAGAGATATATCCATTTAGCAATGGATGAGCTCGCCTTCTTTAGCTCTTAAAGAGGAAAAGAGAAAGCACTGAATCCTGCAGCATCCCACATAGTAGGAGCCAAGGGCAAAACCTCTCTTCCCCAATCACCACCAACTATATTCAACCTTGGAGAAAGGAGGTGAAATTCCCCCAAAGGATACCATGACAGATGGTATTTAAAGCTGCCAAGAAATTAAGTAGGATAAGGTTGAATGCAGAATCCTCGTCATGCCCACTATCATGGTTTCCATAGTGGGCCTGACCAAGGGAAATACCAATTTATTATAAGACAAAGTAAAACAGTTGTTCTCCATCATCCATTCTGGCTTTCCAAAATGTTCTCTACCAGCTAAATTTACTTTTGGTTTTTTTCTGGATAGGGATAAATCCATGGCTGGCATCTGTCCACCACATTATTTTTTAAGACTATCACTGCAGCCTAAGAGAACACCGCAGGCATTACTATAGATTATGCTGGAGACTGATGGTTTTGTTCCTATATATACATGCTTTGAATTTTAAAAATATTCCAAAAGAATAAAATAAAAAAGGGGTGGTGGGGTGGTAGGATGCCTGACAGACATGAAGGAAGAGGTTACAGTTACACAAGCCATACAGCATGCATCTAACTCCATATGGATGTCAGGCCTTATTTTACAACTTACCTCTGAGAGCATTTCATATTGACCTCTTCTTCCCAAGGCAATGGTAAGCAAATCATACACTACAGATGCACTTTGCAAACTGATAATACGATCATTTTTGTGTTCGGGTATTCTGCTCAATACAGCATCACGATTAGCCTGAAAAACCATACCAAACGTAAAAAAAGTTTTGATGAGTATATAATTTAACAATTTAAATTAATTAGGGCATCCTTTGGAAACTTAACACACTCATTCAGCAACTGTTCAAACTTACTATGATGCTGACTGAGTTGTAATTACAACCCAACCTCATGCTTATAACATTGTAATATCCCATAGTCACAGTTGTGATTTGCAACCTTCCCTGTCAAAAGTCAAAAAGAAGTCAAAAGTCAAAAAGAAGTCAAAAGGGAAGCGGACAGGAAGTCAGATATCCAAATCACATGAGGATCTTACTTAATGATCTATGTGGTCCTTGCTTAACTACAGCAACTGGAACTGTTGTTGAGCGGCACAGTCATGTGATTTTTTTGACCTGTGATTGTATCATTTAACAGCATAATTGCCAATTAGTGTTGTTAAATTAGGTAACAACCTGCAACAACCCGCAAAAGGCCATAAAGGAAAACGAAGTATTCTTAGTATTGTCAGAAATGGGATACCTTATTCAGAAATGGAGAATCATTAGTAATGAAATTGCATTTCTTAAGAACTGCTGCATCATACTTATCAATTTAAATGAAAACTACTGAAAAATGGAAGGATGCTGAACAGTAACATTTCACAGTAAGAACCTTTAGTTATTTATTTTGCTATACTCTTATTCTGCACAATGATTCTGAATGAATTATAAATACCAAAAGAGAAACATGTAAGATAATAGAAGCTTAACAGTAATTTGCATAGGGAAATATATATACAGTAAAAGCTGCTATTTCAAGCTACCACCAGCATTTAACTACTCTTTAAACTAAGCTACAAAATATATCTGGGAGCACTGAAGAAGATAATATGATCAGCAGACAAGTAACTTTGAGGAGGGTAGTCCATAAGAAAAGAATATTGCTAAATAGGTTCTTTCCTAGAGCCAAAATGTAATCCACCCACCCACCCATCCATCCATCCATCCATCCATCCATCCATCTATCTATCTAAGGAGGATACTGGTTCAGTAGATAAACAAATGTTCCAAGCAGGTTCAAATAAGATGAAAATTTCCTTAGTTTTGCTTATGTTTCTACAAGGACAATACCAACAATTTTAATTGAGCCCAAAAATCTAGCGGAAACCAGCCCAATTATGATGACAATATCACCATTTTGTGTATTGGTCAGTCCTCTGTCATTAATTTTATTTTGTATTTGGGGCAAAGTTCAATTTCCACTGCCTCAAATCTTGATACCAAATCTGAGGTGTGGGGGAAGGGGTATTATTGGGAAAAATTAATGAAGTGGCCAGCATTTTAATATAAGTTTATTTTCTAACCACTGATGGAAAGAATAAGAAAAAAATGAGTTTAATGGGCAAATTCAAACTTAAGTCAACACAACATGCAAACAAGATGTGCTGCTTGTTATGGCAGACAGGAATGCCAATTTTAGAAAAAATACGGAGGATAACGCTGTTAGTCTGTATAACCTAAGAAACAGAAATGAAACAGAAGAACATCAATTTCTATCTATCTTCATAATTAACATTATCTTTGTAGAAATAAAATGACCCTTATATAAATGGGTATCACTAAATGGAGCCCCAGAGATCAAATTGATTATATTACATACAAGAAAGTGAATGAGCTTAGTTATGACAGTAGAAATATGGCCATGGGCTGACTGTAGAACAAATCATAAACTGCTCATGTGCACATTCGAGATCAAGAAGCCAACAAATCAAAGATATAAAGGATTAATGTGAAACTAGATTGCCAAAGACTAAGAGACAGACTAAGAAACTGGGCATCAGAACAGAAGTAGGCAAAGTGGGCATCAGAACAAACAGTAGAAATTGCCAAGAAGACAACCAAAGACAAGAAAGACAAAGTGCTTGGAAATGAACTTAACAAAGAATTCCTGAGAACTGTTAAAAGAAAGAAGACACAGAGTTATGGTATCAATAAAGACATTGAAGATGGAAAGAAACATAGAAAAACAAGGAAAGTCTTCCACAAGATCTCTAAACTCAGCAGAAAGTTCCAACATCAAGTTGCTGTGCTAAAAATTGGCAACAGTCAAACAGCAAGAAGATCAAGGACAATTAAACAAAGAAGGAAGGAATATACTGAATTTTGTACAGTAAAGATGTCAACTGGCATTCCAATGTTTTCTTCTTACCTAACACTATTTTCAAACAGCCAAAATGGCAACTCTACACATATATCGACATTTTCAGATGAAGTATCTAGAAATCAAATTGACTATATTATTCCTAAAGGATTGCTAAACAGCTCAGTTTTAATATCAAAAACATGGGCAGGTGATGTCTGTGGAACAGAACACTGGAATGCAAATTTCAGTCCCAATTGTTATTGAATATCTGGTATTGATAATTACAATCAATATGTCTTGGCAATTGTTATGCCACTGTTGGAAAATGTCTGAAAGTGAAGGTGGCAATGCCATTTTCAAATCTTCTTTGACAAAACAGATCCACTTGTCTGATTCCATTTGTGCTCTGGTCTATGTCTGCTTTGTATTCAATCCTGACTTTCTTGTGTTAGCCCTGAACGTCTGATCTTTTTCTTACCCAACCCCACTGTCTCCTTATAACAAGACCTCTGCAGCATAATGGAGAAACACACAGAGAGATTAAAAAAAAAAGATTCCTACATCACTGGTTTTTCTCCCAGTCCAATTCCCAGTCTCCGCATGTGTAGACCTATTTACAGTCAACTGCGCATGCATCGAACTGGCAGTAACGCCATCAACAACCCACCCCTGATCCACATACTGCATACTGCCTATCTATGAAGACACACATTTAACTTTTGCTCTTGTTACAGCAAGTTACAATTTGTGAACAGTAAAGTGCAATAGAAATAATATAAAAGGTGCTCATTTATAAAGAAACATAACTCACCATGGATTCACTGATTAGTAGCAGCAACAAAGCTTCTTCAGTATTCTCTTGAGGACAAAAAATGCTGTTAAAAATTGAGCATTCATTATATTACAGTCAACAAAATTAATTTACATGTAACAGTTGTGTCACATCTGTATATTCATGATGATCCAACTTGATATTTCGTTTTTTGTAAAAGCAACTCAAATTATGGAAATGAAGCCATTTTTGAAACAGGTGTTTCAAAGTGTAACAATTTAGAATAGCTCAAACAAATATGCTACTTTGGCAACTAAAACTACAACTACTCCTATTTAAAATGCTAATGTCACTTCCTTTGCATTTTTATAATATTTAAATATTTATATATAGAGCTGTTCAGTCGTCTGAAGAAGAATACATATTTCTATAAATTTCTTTATTCTTTATTCTAATCAGAATATCTTGCATTTTTTTGTTTTTAACCCTATTAAATGACATTAAACCTGACCAAATTATAATTAACCATTCTACATTTTTTTCATTATTTATGTAATATTCAAAACTTAAGACCATTTAATAGGGTCCTTTAGCATGACTTGGAATGTGGGAGGCAGGCATCAGTCTGGGATGTTCTCTGACAATGGATATATTTTGAAGAAATATCTATAAAGAAACCAAGGAGCTCTGAACTGATTATATAGTGTCCATCGTATTCATCGTAATAATCAGAGAAAAACCTTATAAAATTTCACTCTTTAATAGTGACCCATCAGTCCTTCAGGACAGACAAGATCAGGAAAGAGACTTCATAAGGCTACTGAAACTGAGGGCTGAGACAAAATGATGTTGGATTTGAACCAGTCCCAGCTGAACATTTCAACTACTGGCTATGGTATCATAACCAGTTCTCCATACTGGCAACACATTCCACATTAATATTTTAGAGAATGCATAATTCAGAATATTAAGAAATTTGAGGAAAAAAGATTTACTTATTGAAATCATAGGCAGTGAATAGCAAGCATATTGAAATAAAATCTAATCACCTATAGGAAATGCTTAGAATTTTTCCTAATAAAATTTAAATCCTGCATTCAACCTGATTTGCTTTATACTTAAGAGATTAAGATTTAAATCTTTTAAAAAGATTTAAGTTTTGAACTCTAATCCTATTTAGAATTTAAAACAATTGTTTTAAGTTCATGACAAACAGTTCTGAACTTATAAACTGGTTAATATTTGCTGCTGTGTATAACTTACAAATAAATATTCAGACATCCAGCCATGCACATTTTAGATAGATTTAGTTATTGCAACAGCTCTGCTAAAATTCTTTCATATTGCCTTCTTTAAAGGCAACCCTCAGTGATCTCACATATCATCAGTATGTTTTATTTTTCCAGGAAAAAGGAAAAGACCCATTGTTGATATACTTTGAAAACTGCACTGCTGACCCAAACAGAATGGCAACTGAAACCTATCGCTAATAAATCTGCTTTGATAAATAGCCAAATGAGTTTTAATGCCAATTTCCACCATAGGAAGCATACTTTAAAACAGATGCATCTTTCCTTATCATTTCACAGTCATGTTTTACCTATATAAGCTTTTAATTCTGTTTTTCATTTCTACTTTTCTCCACAGTAACTTATCCTGTGCACTCTTCTTTCATCTTTTCTACTTGCCCTGTGCAGTAGTTATGGTTAAGGCATTGTGCCCATACACTGGGTTAATATTATTTATATAACACAAATCATATGAACTTATTATATTCCTTTTAAAAACATTATGTTCTAACATACTTTTCTCCTGAATACACACGAGGTCTTCTGCTAAGAGCATAATTTTTAGTGTTTGCAATTTTCCAGAGTGGATCGTTTAAAGGAGACTGTTGAGGAGGGTCATCCAGAGGGTGCCAGTAGCTCTGTTCACACATGCCACGGAGTAAAATTTCAGCTAACTGCCTTGCTATTGTCTGTTAGGAAGAAAAAAGAAATTCCCATCACTACCACAATGTTTACAATAAACAAAAACAGGATTCAGAACTTGTGTATAACAGGAAACAACTTACTGCTTGAAGTCCTTGTGCACTGTACAACTTTATTCAATAAGCAATGGTATGCAAATAAGGTGCATGTGGAATATAATGTCCAGAACAAAATAAAAGAAAAAACTCACCAAAAGTTTCAAAGAGCAATCAATTATATCATATGTACAAATAACTCATTCTTCAAATTCTTATTTTCAAGGAGCCAAACATTACCCTCTATATATTAGACAATATCAATATGTTTGGGAAAAACTATTAATTTGCAGATTTTTTAAAAAAAAAGTTAGCCAAGTTAGTGAGGGACCAAAACAGTGAGGAGAAAGAGAAATGATTTGAAATCAAGTATTTTATATTAGAATGGTTCTAATATATTCAATCAAAATTCTAACACCTTTTTATATCAAGCCATATTATGTTTACTACATAGGAGAAGGGCTTGGTTTGTCTTCTAAAAAACATAACTTCATATACCTGACTTGTTTAATGAATTAGAATTTGTTCTCAAAGTATCAGTACATAAATGGTATCACAAGGAAGGGGGTCAGGAACTATTTTCGTTTGGCACTAAAGCTAAAATCAGGACCAGGACAACTTTATATGTGGAGAGCTTATAAAAAATTAGGAGTCCACTAAATACTGATCCAACTTTTCCAAATATGTTTATTTTATTTTCCTGCACAAGTATTATATTAACCAATAATTATCCTATAATATTTGTATAGTCTAATGATATCAATAATCACTGTATTAAAATCAACACAGTCACACATAAACCAATAAACTTATTCTTAATTGAATTTCATTGTATTCAAGCATTAATTTACCAGAGCTATAAAAACTTACCATGCGTAGATTCTGTGTAGTTCTTGTTTCAACAGCTCTTAAGATCTCTCTAAATCTACCAACTCCTCTTGTCAAATTCCTGTATATGTACATAGAATAATATAATATAAATTATAATATAATAATAAATAATAAATATTCCAAGCTGTTATTTAAATACTGCAGCCTTTCTTATTAATTCAATAAGTACATTAGTATTGTTTTCCATTTATTGAATGTCATTTAAAATATTTCACATCTTATCCTCTTTTATAAGAATAAAACAACTTTAAATCTGTAAAATGGATTGATTCCAGGATAGAATTCCATTCACACCATCATGCAAATGTAAGATGATTGAAAATTATTCCCTCTCCAAAAAATAAAAAAGGGGGGAGGGAGGAAGGGAAGGAGAGAGAGGAGGTAAGGGATTTTTATAAACAAAAAACAATCATGAAGTTAAATGTCATAAAATGCAGTAAAATGAAAAACTGGAAGATATAATCCATAAATTGATATTTGTAATGGGTTTTTTATATAAATTCAACAGTAAAGGCAAAGGAGGTGAACAGATAATAATATTCCCAGTATTAGTAGTAGCTGGATCAAATGAGTCCAGGAAATGTATGTTCCAATTTGCATAGCAATAACCATTTTGTAAACTTGAATGAGCCTGAGAAACAGTACTATAACATATAATAACAATAAACATAATTGCTTCTCTTTAATTAGTGGAGTTTAGGAACGAGAAGATGTGAGCCACAGATCATGCATGGAAGCTGCAATAAGAAATTTTCAAATGTTTTTCTTGACAGAATGTGATGTCTATTTTGCAGAAGTCCAAAAATTTCAACATAATGCATAATAAAGGAAGGAATGTTTGTATTTGTATATATTATTTCCCAAGTAATCATTTTTCTCATCATTTTTCCTAACACATAATTAACAATATTAATCCATTATTTTTGTAATGCAGTATTTCGTACTATATTACACTTATTATAATGCAGATAATTTCAAACTGAGGACTAGCATCTTACCAGTACTAGAACTAAAAATAAAATTCAACTCAATATAATTTATATTTTTATATCCTCTAATTACCCATGGGTTATGTTTTCTGCTGAAGTTTCTGTTTGAGATCTTACAAATGAAACAGTGTTAACAATTGTCCTTTTCAGTTAATTAGGAAACACATTTTACTAATTAGTATTGTTTTCAGAAAGCTTTCAGCCTTTGCTACTTAAACCTACAAAGTTTATTTATTACATTTTTATCTTGCCATAACTACTTTACAAGTAACCCAAAGTAGCAAATATACATAATACTTCTTTTTTCTTTCCAACACTGTAAGTCAGAGTTGAGCTGAGAGTGTGTGATTGGCTCAGTCTTGACCCAGCTGGCTTTTATGCCTAAGGCAGGACTAGAAGCTAGGAAGTTGAAATCCACATATCTTAAAGTAATTAAGCTTGAGAAACACTGTATTAGATGATTGATTCTGGTTGAGAACAAGTGAAGCTCAGGAAGTGCTTCCTGAAATGCATTTCCTCAGACAAAATGGAAAATTGACCCAGTCCTTTACAATTATTCAGTGGGAAAGATGACAAAAAGACAGTAAATATTTTTTTTGTTTTTTACTCCAGTGCTAAAGGGCTAATGAAGAGGAAGAAAATACATTCAGTTGCTCCCTAATGCCCTCTTGCCAACAAAATGATTTCAAAGACTCTATAGTAATATATATAAAGTGGTATTGGTATAGCAATACCACTTTATAATGCCTTGGTAAGGACATACTTGAAATACTGCATTCAGTTTTGGTCGCCACGATGTAGAAAAGATGTGGAGACTCTAGAAAGAATGCAGAGAAGAGCAACAAAGATGATTAGGAGACTGGAGACTAAAACATATGAAGAACGGTTGCAGGAACTGGGTATGTCTAGTTTAATAGAAAGAAGGACTATGGCAGACATGATAGCAGTGTTCCAATATCTCAGGGGTTGCCACAAAGAAGAAGGAGTCAAACTATTCTCCAAGG